GGAGTATTGTGTGCAGGTCTGGAGCCCTCAATATAAGAAGGACATGGACCTGATGGAGAGGGTCCAGAGGAGGGCCACAAGGATGATCAGGGGGATGGAGCACCTCTGCTACGAGGACAGGCTGAGGGAGCTGGGGTTGTTCAGCCTGGAGAAGAGGAGGCTCCGGGGAGACCTAATAGCGGCCTTCCAGTACCTGAAGGGAGCCTACAGGAAGGCTGGGGAGAGCCTGTTTAGAAAGGCCTGCAGTGACAGGACGAGGGGCAATGGCTTCAAGCTGGAGGGGAACAGATTTAGACTGGAGATGAGGAGAGGGTTCTTCACTGTGAAGGGTGGTGGAGCACTGGAACAGGTTGCCCAGGGAGGTGGTTGAGGCCCCATCCCTGGAGATATTCAAGGAGAGGCTCGACAAGGCCCTGGGCAACCTGGTCTAGTTGGGGGTGTCCCTGCTGACTGCGGGGAGGTCGGACTAGATGGCCTTTGGAGGTCCCTTCCGGCCTGGGCAATTCTATGATTCTATATATTATTTTTAAATTGCAGCGTTTATGCACCAAAGGCAGCAAAAGAGTCCTTCCTGGGCTGGGTCCCGCCACAGCCTGTAAGGGGGTGTGAAGGCAAAGCCCCTCCAATTGATACCCAAAGCGGATTTTATGTAGTATATAAACGGTTAAACTGTGGAAAATCATCTTTTAGAGAAGAAACGTAGCTATTTTAGCAACCAACCCAAATGGTTTCAAGGACTTAGATGTCTGTGGCCATGTCTGAGAACGTGGCGACCTAAGACAGAGATGCAATAAATACATTGTCTGACAAACAGGGGGTAGCGGAGAGATCATTAGTTTTAATGAGCAATTAAGCGGTTAGAATGTTTAGCCAACACGAAAAGTGAGCCACAGGACAGGTGAAGAAGATGAAGCTTGAGGAAGAAACAACCCGCACTCAAAATGAGGACCACCAGAAGGCACAACTGCGCACGCCCAAAAGGTTATTATAATATGTAAATGAATTTTCGGAAATGTAATGAATAAGCTAATGTTTCCTTGGAATTACATTGAATACATATACCTGCTGTGTATAAATTTAATTTGACAACAGCATTCGGGGTGCAAAATAGGAGGAGCCACCCCTGAGCACCCGGCACCGCGATAAAGACTGCCTGCTTTCTAAAACTTTACATTGAGCCTTGGAAAGCTTTATCTGCTGGTTTGCAGTAACGAAGCCCCGCAGCAGGATGTATTGCCAGGATGTATTTACAACACTTTTTACTACTTTAGCGAGGAAATAAACGAGAAAGTGATTATGCTGCTAATGAAATGACCGGTACAGCATGGAAAAACGGGAACAACAGATCTAACCACCATCTGGTCCCAACAGGAACACCCAGATATAACCACCAGCCTCAACACGGGGCTGAGTTTTGCAGACGAGGGGGTCAGAGCCAAATTCTGCCCTGGCCCAGGCTGTGAGTTAAAGGGAAGTCACCCGAGGGCAGACACCGTCCCCTCCTTTCCTACACCAACTCACCCGTGCGTTGGCACGGGTGTCTCTGTGTAGGCACATCAACCTCCACGGATGAGCCTTCACTCAACATGGATTCACGCAGCTTTATCTGCTGGTTTGCAGTAACGAAGCCCCGCAGCAGGATGTATTGCCAGGATGTATTTACAACACTTTTTACTACTTTAGCGAGGAAATAAACGAGAAAGTGATTATGCTGCTAATGAAATGACCGGTACAGCATGGAACAACAGATCTAACCACCATCTGTTCCCAACAGGAACGCCCAGATCTAACCACCAGCCTCAACACGGGGCTGAGTTTTGCAGACGAGGGGGTCAGAGCCAAATTCTGCCCTGGCCCAGGCTGTGAGTTAAAGGGAAGTCACCCGAGGGCAGACACTGTCCCCTCCTTTCCTACACTGTGCGTTGGTGCGGGTGTCTCCGTGTAGGCACATCAGCCTCCATGGATGAGCCTCTGCTCAACGTGGATTCACGTGCGCAGGATCAGAAGGATGGTTAACTCATGCTTTGCACAAAGATAAATGCCTTCATGTAAGTAATTAAATAAAAAATGTCCTTTGTAGATATACACAGCGTGTACGTGTAGACTGAAGCCATCAGAGGTTTGCAGTGCCAGGTAAGCACACCTGAATCACAGAATCTTCTAGGTTGGAAGGGACCTTAAAGATCATCTTGTCCAACCGTCAACCCAACTGACAAAAATAGACACCCACACAACAAACAAAAAGCAACACCATCACTAACCCATACCTCCCAGCACTACATCAACCCGTCTTTTGAACACCTCCAGGGATGGTGCCTCAACCACCTCCCTGGGCAGCCCATTCCAATGCCTGATAACCCTTTTGGTGAAAAAATTTTTCCTAATATCCAGCCTGAACCTCCCCTGGTGTAACTTGAGGCCATTTCCTCTCTTCCTGGCCCCATCACACTTAATATAAAGCTGAAATGTACTTGCCTGGAGTATTTTAGCTCTAGTTTTGGATAATCACAGCAGGTGGCAGTATGTACAAGACTAATTTAATGCTCTCGGATGTCAGAGATACTTAAACAAGATCTGGGAATGCCAGACAGCACAGAAAGTGCTGCAGGAGAGCACAGAACAGACAGGCACCGTTGCTGGCAACTTGAGGGCAGTTGACTCTGCATGCTTGGAATGCAGCCAAAGCCAGGGAAGCATCTAAGGAATATCTGCCAGAAATGTATGTTTTACATGAATTTGCAGTTAAGTGTCACACAGCTGACATTTCAGACTCTTCAATAAAAAAGGGAATCCAGTTCTTTGCCTTTGTCCACCCGTTATTCCGGATGCTTACACACCAGAAGCGTTGGAAATAGGGTGACATAACTTCACACCAGACATATATTGATACAAACCTTGATATGTACGATAGGCCAGTATACCAGTAATTACTGATATTGCACCTCATTATAGCTGCATTATCAGTCATTTTCATAATTACCTGGTAGAGCAGATAATAACTAAATATCACTTATCTTCAGAGGTGAAGGCAACGCACTTATCAGTCATTTTCATAATTACCTGGTAGAGTAGATAATAACTAAATATCACTTCTTATCTTCAGAGGTGAAGGCAACGCACAGGTGTGAACTGGCAGCTGGGGAGAAGCGATGAAGCACAGGTAGAACATCTGATTTCATACAGCTGCTGACAAAAGATAATTGGAGATCCAGAACTGCCATCTATTTATTGCAGCTCTAAATACCAACGAGCTGCTTGTTGCTCCTGCTGTACACACACGGCAAGCATCCCATCTGTCCTGCAGCACCAAGCTTTGGGAGCAGGGGGCTGCGTTTCATCCAAAAAATAACGGCTCAGGCTCACCTGCTGTTTGTTGAGGCAGCTCATTAACACAAACGAGCATGATGGCTGTTTTCCATTAAGCCAAAATGAGAAGCTAGCTCCTGCACGACATGGCCACCCAAAACCACAAGCTATTTGTGAGACTGAATTATGTGAGCAACTGGTCCTGCTGTTGGCTGGATGTCAGCACGGAGCTGAGGGCCTGGTCCCATGTCAGTTGGGGTGTGTGGAAGAGGAAGAGCAGGAGCACCAAAGAAAAACACAGAAAAAGAAGGAAATTGTAAGTATCATCAGAGAAATCCTTACAAATCTCTACTGAATAAAAGCTCAGAAAACTTTTAGGTAAAATTATGGTAGAAAAGCATATAGATGAGAAATTATCTCAGTGTATGATTTGTGTATTTAATCAATCCTGTTTATATACAAAGCTGTGCCTGAGGCTGTTACCTGTTTCTTCTCCTAAAAGAGATGCTCACAGGGGCCCCGCTTTATTTGCCTTGAGGAAAAAAAAAGCTACAACAAACCACGAACAAAAAAACAGATAAACAAAAAAACCCTGAAGTTTCCTTTCAGACAGTAGATGAGTAGATGATGAGTGCAGCTGAATAAGAAGAAAGAAAAGGGAAGACCCGAAAGAAAACTTAAAAATCATGACATTCATATTTAAAATAATTTCTCTTATGTGAATGAATCAGGAATACTCAACTGATAATTTCAGCTGCCTTGATCAAAAGTAGTTACAGTAACAGAGAAATCTTAGCCCAGGAAGGATGACTTCACTTTCATTACTCAAACAAAGACCACATGAAATACATTTTTCAACATTTTCTCTGCTTCAGCTAACCCCCTGTAATTTGTTTCTCCATGGAGAGCCATTCCCTCGTGTGCCTCTAAGGGTTTGCCAAAACTTTTTCCCCATGAAATCCTTTACCATCTGAGCTGTTTCGGGAATACTGTTAGAAAAGACCTGTGTCACCACAGGCTGTAGCTCGAACTGTGATTGTCTAATGCTTTGTTTTTAAGAAAAAATACTTTTTCCTGGTATTCTAAGGAGGTTTTAATCTGGCAATTGTGTCAGGAGTGGAAATTGCTATGATACGGGTTTTAAAGTGTCCAACTGCATCAGTATTTCGTTTCTTCCAGTTAGTGTGTGTGTGCTGAATTGAACCACCTGGTATTTATGTACTTGAAACTGTCAATGCAGACACTCCCATTACCCCAGAATTGCAACTGGCTGCTATTGCTTAGTCTGGATTTTTACATAAGATGCCCAAAGGTGTAGTTATTAAGTGTGATTCTCACCCCTCTGTACAATAGAGCAAGCTGGATTTCGTTCATCAGTGTTCAGAAACTTTATCCTTTTCCATTCTGCCAGTCTTTTTCTTCAGCATTAGCACATGTTCCTGTCTTCATGACCTTATGTCCTGCTGCCACCGAGCCTTGTTGTCAGGGTCCTGCAACAAGCTTCAAAATTTTTCCTGGTCCTGAAATGGCAGAGACCTCAAAGCATTTTAGGAAATGGGAATTAATTTGAAGATGTTGCCTTAAGAGTAAGGAAACGGTGATGTTCTGCTGCAGCACAAGCAGAGGGATAGCAAGCAGCTGAATCTGAAAGTCTTTAGAGGCTATGTAAAGGTTAAACTATGGGCAAAATTCTGCATTGCAATTCTTCAAAGGATTCCTCATGTCCTGCCAGTTTTGGACAAAGATTTTGCCCACCAGTTCTAGGCTGCTTTAAGGCTAGCAGTGCTCTGGTACCACTTAAAGGGTATTTTATTGCACCTCACAAAAGTGATAGTAATTAGCGTGGCCACAGGTAAAGACCAACAGTATTTTGAAGTAGCACAGGTGTCAAAATGGGTGCACGAGTGATGAGACCAACAGTATTTTGAAGTAGCACAGGTGGCAAAATGGGTGCATGAGTGAAATACTCAGTAGGTTATCCCTATGCCAAAGATGTTGTGCGATTGCAAATTAGGCCTAAGATCACATGTAAAGGTTAAACTATGGGCAAAATTCTGCATTGCAATTCTTCAAAGGATTCCTCATGTCCTGCCAGTTTTTGACAAAGATTTTGCCCACCAGTTCTAGGCTAACAGTGCTCTGGTACCGTTTAAGGGATATTTTATTGCACCTCACAAAAGTGATAGTAATTAGCGTGGCCACAGGTAAAGACCAACAGTATTTTGAAGTAGCACAGGTGTCAAAATGGGTGCACGAGTGATGCAGTAGGTTATCCCTATGCCAAAGATGTTGTGCAATTGCAAATTAGGCCTAAGATCACCAGAAGTGGTAGAATCTGGCACAAAATAGACAGTTGACATATCAATACTTGACCGCAGAACGGCCTGAAGGTCAGCATCACTTTTTCTTTTACACATAAGCATATTTTTTAATGCAAATTTTCATTTCAGGTTGCACTAGATCAGTGTTAAACAGTATTAATTCAAGCATTGTAAGCGACCAGAAGTGGTAGAATCTGGCACAAAATAGCAGACAGTTGACGTATCATTACTTGACCAAAGAATGGCGTGAAGGTCAGCATCACTTCTTCTTTTACACATAAGCATATTTTTAATGCAAGTTTTCATTTCAGGTTGTGCTAGATCAGTGTTAAACAGTATTAATTCGAGCATGGTAAGCACTTGGTTCTCCCCTTTATTAGCTGGAAGAAAACCAGCCACAAATAAAGAAATGTAACAGTTAACCAATAACAGTAGCATATTTGACTTCCCTCACCCTGAAATTGCTCTTTCTGTAATGGTTAACTGCCCTGTTTAACTCACAGCAGGGGGGGTAATTTCCCCATCTAAGGAGGTAAGATAAAAGAAAAGCAAAATTCCTTCCATCACATGTGCTGAAATCCATTTGGAAGAACCATCATTCCTTACACTAAACAGCTCCAGGTAGGGAGGTCTACACCAGTTCTAGTCTTGCAACTGTCAGTGAGGAATTCAGTTTGAATTTCAGGCATTCTCTGTTTCTCTCAGGTTTTATGGCCTCTTGTACCCAAGATGTGGTAAAAATCCAGCGGAATCAAAGTCTCTGTGTTTTATTTTGCAGCTTCCCGGAAAGAGCGAAGCTGCATTAAAAAGTACAGTAAAAGAAAAGCAAAATTCCTTCCATCACATGTGCTGAAATCCATTTGGAAGAACCATCATTCCTTTTCACTAAACAGCTCTGGGTAGGGAGGTCTACACCAGTTGACAGTGAGGAATTCAGTTTGAATTTCAGGCATTCTCTGTTTCTCTCAGGTTTTATGGCCTCTTGTACCCAAGATGTGGTAAAAATCCAGCGGAATCAAAGTCTCTGTATTTTATTTTGCAGCTTCCTGGAAAGAGCAAAGCTGCATTAAAAAGTACAGCCAAAAATCATGTCCCAAGCATGCCTCAACTAAAGGAAACTTATCTGTAGTCAGAATTCGTTTGGACGCATCAGGGACTCATCTCTTCATTGAATAATCCCGTAAGATGCATGCTTGATTGATTTTTTGCAATATTTAATAATGACTAGATTAAAAAAAACCCTACTATTCTGATAACGCACTACCTAAAGTTAATTCCCAATTGGAATGGCCGTCCCCATTGGACAGCCTGGAAATGTTTGGCTGAGAATTAGCAAGGAAAATGAAGTTTCAAGTGGATCATTTGTTTACAAAGTTTTTTAAATGGTTTAAGATGAAAATGGTATCAGGATGATTTAATGATCTGATATATTTATCTGTGAAATCTAAGGGAGTCTTTTGATGATGGTTGAGGTTGGATCTGGTCCTTAATATGTATATATTTTTTTATATACTATATATGTACTACGTAGAATTATAGAAACTGACTTCGGAGAGAGTACAACATTAACCCAATTTTATTTTACATTATGTTCTTTGAACCACAATTGGGCTATTTTACATTTTTTGTCTATTGTTTTTCTTTATTCTGTTGGTGTGTTTTTGTCAAAAATAAACTGTGCCCAAGGATATTCCTCTGATTTCTCAGGTTACTGTTCATAGTATATTTCGAATTAGAGCTTGGGTTAGTGGGGCAGGTCACCTCTGAGTCTGATTAACTCAAATCACCCAGACAGAGTGGCAGGTTTGGGCCAGCTCAGCAGAAGTGGCGTTAGCTCTTGTGATAGATCCTGGCTTCTTAAGAGAACAAATTATAACAGACTCGCTCAACCAAAGAATGATAGGAGTAATGAAAAGCTTTTAAATATTTCAGGAATGCAAACAACTACATAAGCTTACCCAAATACTGCGGGGAGTGCAGTTTAGTTTTGAATTACTAACAAGTTTTGCCCATTCAGATGGTAGGATGAGGGGAAAGCACCCAAACAGTGCCCCTAATATTTACATATCAACTTAAAAAGACATTCAGAGGGTATGTTAGTAGGCATATTTAAAATAAATAAATAAATAATGGCCTTTACATACATGCAATTAGTTTGTGTAGTCCAAGAGCCTAATTTCAACCCCATTGACAACTTCTTTTCCAAATAAAGCTGACAGACCAGCTTTATTCCTGAACTGCAGCAAATGTAAACAGCGAATGGCAGTAGGTGACCTGGAGCAAACATCCAGTTTTCCGGCGGGATATTCAGTAAATGACAAGAAGGAAAGACAGAATGGAATAGATCATGGTTGGGAACGGGTTTTACAGCGGTTTGTTGGCTTTGTACACGGACCATCCTGCACACACAAGTGGCAATCCTTGGATGTCATTAATGAACCAAGGGCATAATCAGGCACCAAATAACTCCATCTCCAGCGGGGAAAGCCTAGATGGGAACCAGCAAAGGACCACAGAGACCCTGAAGTAGTCACTCGTGCTGCAGGAGCTGCCTTTTGGTGACGGCTTTGCCCTTGCCTCAGAATTTTGTCACCTTGACCTCGAAGGTCTAGTAAAAGTCTGTTTTATTGTAGGTGGGGGGGAAACCCGCCCCCTTTAGGAAGCAATACCAAGAACAGCTGGCCAGATGTGAGGGAAATAAAGTGTTTTTCGGCCACAGGCGGCACATCGGCGGGGCGGGCGCCGGGCCTCCGCCTGCCGCCCCCTCAGAGCCCCTGAGGGGAGAGACGGCCCGGCGGGGGCTCCCTCCCGTACTCACCCGCCGCCGGGTAACGGCACCTCCGCCTCGCCCGAGCTCGCTGTGGCAGCCCCTCAGCCGCTTCAACGTCCCGCCGCCGCCGCTGCTTTCCCCCCCACACCTCCGCCTTCAGGGCGGCTCAGCCGGCCAGCCCTTCCCTTGTGGCGGGGAGAGGCGGCGGTAGGCACCGCCTGGGCCGCCGAGGAGGAGGAGGAGGCGGTGGCAGAGCGGGGACTTGCCTCCTTCGCCCCGGGTTCCCTCTGTCCCCTGGCACGACGCCTGCTCGTCCTCCTTCCCTCAGCCACCGCCTGGTGAATAATAATTCAGCCGTGTCTTGTGCCGTCGCCTGGCCGGGCAGGGGTAAAGTTCCCAGAGGAAGCCAGGGCAAGCCGCTTAAGCCGTGATGGCGGAGGGTAAAGACCCAAGGAGGCCGCCGTTCCCCTGCCGTGCCGGATCCACCTCCCCGCCATGTGGTGTTTTTTCGCCTGGGTTGGTGTGATCCCAGGGGCCGGGGAGCCGCAGGCGAGAGCGGGTTGCCTAGGAGGAGCCGCTGCCGCCTCAAACCCACCCAGGGGAGGGCTGTGATCCCTCCTCTGCCTCCCTGGAGGTGGGCCCTGCTGCCCCGGCCCCCGGCGTGGGGTGTGTGGGCGCCTCGCCCTTGGCAAAGGAGCCGTCAGGGAGGAGACCAGAGGGGTTCTCCTCAAGCAGGAGCCCTCTCCTGAGGTAAAGAGGCGCAGGCAGGAGGTGGGAAGGAAGCCACCCCAGCATGACAAGCCCCGGCACCAAGGCATCGTGGCTGTCGCAGCAGCCGATGGTGAAGAGCGTGGTGGTGTATCGCAACGGGGACCCTTTCTTCCCCGGGCGCCGCATTGTCATCAACGAGAAGAAAGTGTCCAACTTCGAGGTGTTCCTGAAGGAGGTGACGGGCGGGGTGAAGGCACCCTTCGGAGCCGTGCGTAACATCTACACCCCTCGGGGTGGGCATCGCGTCCGGCAGCTGGAGGAGCTTCAGAGTGGAGAGCAGTATGTGGCTGGTGGCAGGGAAGCCTTCAAGAAACTCAAGTGAGTGGCTAAAAAGTAACGTTAAGATTTATACGGAACTCAAAATATCACCATTTGGGGCTTGGTGCTGTGGCAATGCTTCAGAGGACCCCCCCACCCCTTTTATTAGGCATTGAGGGAAGAGGACTTAAAGGCTGAGACCCAAGGCAAAAAGAAAGGTACTTCTAACAGATGCAACTGCAAAAGAGCTTTAGAGATGGGCCACATGAAGGCTGCTGTTACTATCAGTCACATAGTGCCATCACCTTGACATGACAGTAGGAGAAACAGCCCGTTAACCCGAAGGACAGGCGGCGATGGCGTGTTGTTGTGATGTGTGTGCTTATCTGGGAGCTGAGTGTCAGTATCCAGCAGTCTGGTAATAACAGGGAGAAGCGGTGGAAAGGTGGAGTGTTGACAGTCCTGCCGTGAAATTGACGAGCCTGGGAATTTAATTCCCAACATTTGGTTCCTTGCTTATTTTTTACAAAATCTAAAATACTCTACCCAGCTATCTACCTCTCCATCACTTCTGTTCATTTTGGGTAGGTATATAGCTGGTTTCTGACTGGATTAGCTGAGTCCCTCCTGTTACTTAAAAGATGACTGTTAGCTTTCTTTTCCCTGCCTGGACACCAAGGATTAGGCTGACAGATTCTCTGTTTTCTAGTGAATGACTGGGAGAATATCGAGGAGGAGATCTGGGCTTTTAGGTGCATTTCCCGAGTGGCTCTGCATGTGATCAGTAATGGTTCCTAATTCTGGGACTGAATTTCATAGTCTCAATTGCCTCCTATGTTTTTTTCAGACTTTGTGAGTATTTTTCTTACAGTTGATATAAAAAAATCTCAAAATTAACAGCCCCTTTCTGGAGGTGGTTTGGAATTTAGATGCTAAACTACCAGCTTTACAGGAGCTCACTCTTCTTGGTTTTGTAGAGTTGAGGGCACTACATTTTTCAGGAGAGCTCATTATATTTCAGGATGAAATTGTGTCAAGAACAGGATCTCTATCAGCACTCTTGCTGTTTTTGTCACTGGCTGCTTCTGAAGATTTGGTGTACCTGCTTTGGCAGGGGGATTGGACTAGATAATCTCCAGAGGTCCCTTCCAACCCCAGGTCATTCTGTGATCCTGTGATTTATTGAAGCTTCTTGCACTTCAGTGGTAAAGCTACAAAGAAAGATGTGTGACAGGCTAAATATAAGCCCCTTTCCCTCTGTGCTCTCTTCCATGTCAATGCATTGCTCAACTCTCAAGAATGATCTACTGTATCTTTTCGGTATTTAATCCTGTGATTCTGTGGATGGCTTAAAGTTGTTAGTTGTCAGCACATCATGTTTCACTTCCCTAAATGTGTTTTATGTTTGTCAGACAGGCTGAAAGTAAGCAAGTGTTTGGCATTAGCATGCACCGTGTAGAGAATTGGGCACTCTGGATTTATTTTGGGTGGGAAAAAGCATTTCTTTTTGTAATTTTTTGTGGTCTGGGTTTTACGGTGAGAGCTTTTCAGACTTTCGTGGTTGCAACGTGCAACAAGATACCTAAATATTTAAGGTCAACAAAAGAGAGTGCCTTAAGAAAAGCAAACCTAAAGGACTTGGTAAAAGTAGGCTGTTTCATATATCCCTTGATAGTATGCTCTGGTCCTGTTCCGAAGGGAGGATGAATGGAATGACTTTTCCATTTCTATGTTCAGAGTTGGGAGTTCTTCACTGTTAGCATTTATTTATATAGTGCTGTATATGTTGGCAGTGCTTTTACAAGCATAATGTAAGACAGGCTGAAGGACTTAATGTTGATCTTGTTCTTAACTGGGTTGTAGACGGAATGATAATTAGGGAGGCATCTTAGGCAGAAAAGTCAGAGGAAAGGAGGGGTTAATTGAGAGGCACAGTTTTCTGAAAGGAATTGTAGGAACTGAAGAAAAGTGGGTAAGTTTGTGTATGTGTCACAGGCAAAGATAAAGCAGTTACAGCTGTGGGAGACCAAAGCATCTGCCCTAAAGGCTCTGAGTCTGGTTCTGATAGCAGCAAGAAGTTTGTACATTTTTTACAGCTGTTTTTTGCAGTGATGCTTGTTGGACACGTTCATTCCTGTGACAGGCTACGCGGGGCTGAACTTTGAAATGGAGCTTTGTAGCACCAATGTGTGGGAGCATAATGGAAAGCCACGGAGCAGCAGAAGCTGAAAGTGTCATGGCTCCACTTCAATCACTGCATTTGTTTCTTCTCAGATGCCTCATACTGAGAACTGAATCTTTTTCTTCCCTGTCCACAGTGAATTCTAGACCACACTGCACTCACCTTTAGCACATTCCAAGCCCTGAATCTTTATATCTTAAGAGAGATACCTCTGAGGGCATATAGTCTTTATAAACTGCTCATTTTGTAAATAAAAATAAAGTAATCAGAATTTAGAAATTCTGCTTTTAGAAAAATGTGCAGATTTCTTTTTTAAAGGAGGAATTATTAGCCATTGTTGGGAATTTTCATATGTAATGTTTCCCAGCTTGTTTTGTCATTTACAGGTGTGCTAAGTGAATACATGCTTTTTTGGTGTATATGGAGTGAGGTGTGTTGGTATGTTGTAGTTGTTGCAGTGGTGACTGAGAATGCACGTTCAGGCCAGCATCCTTGTGGAGTCTTCTATGAGTGTCAGCTTCCTGAAAGAAAATTGTCTATGCTGGAGCTGATTTCAATTTTTAGCTTTTTTTCAGCATGCTACTCTACCTTCAACCTTCCTTTGCCCGTTTACTTGTGTCTGGGCTCATTAATTAATGGTAGATTGTCTTCTTTCCAGCAGCATCTCTTTAAACAACAGCGTAGTTTCATGACTGGTTTGGATAGTAATTGAGTAGAAGTATTTCTGCTTTCTTAGCAAGTGGAAATACTTTTGTAAAGTTTTTGGTCTGGATTTTTTTTTTTTTTTTTGAGTTCTATTGTCCCAAGAAAAGCTTTTGGCCCTACCTAGACTTTTTCAGATTAGTAGATCCCTGAAATTTGACAGCTAGGCCCAGACCTCTGTCTAGTGAATTTAAGCCTTTGACTTATATATTTGCTTTTCTTTGTCCCTTTCCTTAGTTCTCCTAGAAGTAATTCACAGATGCCCAGAACACAAGAACCACAGTCAGCAGCTGTTGGTACAGGCTGTTGGAACTATTTTGTTTGAGGAATTTATTTCTTTTCAGTCTTGTAGGCTTTAAGACTTCTTTTTTGCGTGTGTGTGTCTCAAGAGAACTTGTTCCTCACGTGGAGAAGCTTGCAGTTGTTTTTATTTGTTTTTAAACAGGAAGCTGGGACACTTTGTTTTTAAACATTGTCCTACATTGCTACATTTACCCTTCCCAAGCATTGACATTCACTTTCAAGCATTGCCTGGAAGCCTTACTGTGTCCTCTTGTCCCTACACATTTCAAGAAGCCTTGAAATCCTTGTGACCGTTCTGTGGTCCTTTGATAAATGATTGCCATTCCTTCAAAGAATGAATGATGTGTTGGGTTTTTTTTCTGGGTTCCCAGGTCCCATGAATTCTCATGTTTGGCCAGGCAGGAAAGTTTCCTCTGCCAAACAAATCTTATCCCAGTCATTAGCTACAGAGCCTGACCTTACTGGAAAGCTATAGATGCTTTTGGTGAGCCTGCACTGATGTTGCCATCAGGTACGCCTGATCTTCTCAAATAGGGTCTTCTAGTCTTAAAAACCTGGCAAAGCACCAGTGTTTTCCCACTGAAAGTGGGAATAGGGAGAACTTGTAACAAATGCCCATCACCTGATGTTGGGTTAGATGCTCCCAGAGTAGAATAGATGCCCCAGCCATTGTTGTTCTCATGTTTAGCTCTTGGTAGAAGGTGCTGAAACGTGCTGCTCCACTGAGTTATAACTGTCCAAGAAGGTATCTCTTCCTACAGTGCTGAGATCTTGCAGTACCAGCAGCTACATTCATGAGAGGAACCAGTCATGGCTCTCAGAGTGCTGACAAGGGACAGGAGTTAGTGTCATCTGGGTACCTGGACAGACTGGAAAGGCCTGGAAAGACATAGACTGCCTTTTTGCCAGTCTATGGGTTACTCATGCTTGAAGGCTTATTTAATTCCCTTTCTTTGGAAAGACAATGTACAGCTAATCCATCACTCTGTGTTTTAACAATTTTGTGTTAATGCAATGTTTTTGTGGGAATTTGTACTCTGGTGGAGAGTACATATGTATTCTGGTGTAGAGCAGTATTGTTCAAATAGGTGTATCAAAATACACCCTTTCTTGTCCAGTTGAGGCTTGTATTTTGTCTGTTTGTAAAATAGTGGTGAAAAAGCTATTGGTTCATCACACTCACGAGAAACCAGGATATACAGTGTTCAGATGTGTCCACGTCCTGTTGAAACACAAGTGGTGTAGATCCTTTGAAACTTTAGCTGATGCCCTGGGTTAAACATGAGTGCTGAAAAAAGCTTTAAATCTATCAGAGACTTACTGAGAGAAACTAAGAGGCAAGGTGATGACCTTGAAAACTGTGGTAAGTTGATATTGTGCTGAGATTTATTGATCCACCTCACAGTAGTAGGTGAGCTTCTTTCTGACAAGGCAGTTATTGATGGTCTATTCTAATTAACAGTGACTTGAAGGTAGATGGTTAATTCTTCCCTGTCTTTTGTATTAGTCCAGAGGGCTGGCCTACAGATTTACGTTAACACTCCTTCATTAAAATCTTGAATTAGTTATTTTTTTATGTTATTTTGAGGCATGATAAATTTTAAAAGCTTCGTGTACGAAAAAAGTTTAGAAATATTTGTATTATGCAAGTTAGATGCTTCTGTAAATAATCAACTGTTTTCCTTCCACAGCTATTTGGACATTGGAGAAACAAAGAAAAAACCTGCTGAAATCAATAATGAGGTAGGATGCCTGAAATATTTCAGAAGTCAGCCTGCAGTTAATGTTAGTGACATGCCTGCATTTATGCCTGAATTTTTTTATATATATTTATTATGTTTAATAATAATACCATTATCTACCATTCTGAACATACTATTTCAGTGATTACTACTGTGATTGCTCTGAGCATGAAGCACTGATTGTCTTCCACTGAGCTTTCCGAATTGCTACATCCAGTTAAAAACTTTCAGTAAAGAAAACCTCCTGTTGTCTTCATTGGATCTGATCATAAACCTAAGGGAGCCTTCTTTCATATAGAAAAAGATGGTGGGAATGAGAATTTTGGGAGTTTTGGACCAGGAATTTTTCTTCAAAACTTGGTATTTTCCCTGGAGAAGGGACATTTTTGTTTGAAAAAATCTCACTCGCTTGAAATGCTTTTCCCAGCTACTGCCAGTATCAGTTGTAAACTTCTAACTATTTCTAGTCCATAATTCTTTAAGCTCACCTGTTTCTCTTCACCTGTTTCTCAGTGTGATGTTACAGCCTGAGGAGATGGCTACAGGCTTCAAAAACACTCAGTGGATTTTTGTGAGATGCGTGACTGCATTAGTTTTACTATTTTATTGTGTATGGAGACAGCAATGATTCCTAACAAACATTTGAACTATATCTTCTACCGGACAAGACACATCAGCTCACTTGTTTTTCAGTTTCTTTTGCCTTGTGCATTCATGCCACGTGTCCAGCAATTTAATGGTTTGTGTAGCAGGTGTATTCAGACAGTAGAACACCTCAGACCCTCCAAATTGAGGCCTTTGTGCCCAAATGACATTTTACTGTGATACTCAGATACTTCTTACTCAGAGGTTATTAAATATGACACCTGCATTTTATAGTGGATTCTAACTTTGTAACCTGTATTTTTTTTCTTTCAAATGGGCACAATCAATAGGAAGATCAAATTTGAGTTGCCGATTTGATATACTACTGCTACAAGTACCATATAAATTTACTCTAAGTTGAATTTTTTTCCCAGTTTGTTTATTTATGCAATTGACCAGAACATTGTAGAGATAGTTTTGTTGGTTTTTTGTGGCCATTCATGTCTCCCTGTTGTTCTGGGTCTTTTTTACAGAAGAAAGAGATAGGAAAAGTTAATTAAGCACTGATGAGACAGCAGTATTATTTTCTGTTGGTGACATGTTTATAAAACTGAGCAACACACCTTCACATTTGCACTATATAAGCTTTCCCATGTCTTTAATTCATAAATTCCATTTTTGACCTCCAGCATTTTCTTATTCCAGTCCTGAGTCTCCTCTGATCAAGTTTTGTGAATCTTACTGAAACTAATGACTTGCAGGGTGCACAGGCAGAGAATCAAGTAATTCATCTCACTTTTAATTGTGATCTAAGTAAGAGATTATAATTTGGAGGAGGAGGTAAATTTGTTGCACGGTAGCAGTATTGCACTTACCTGAACCTTCAACACATAAAATAGTTCTGAACCAAAAGTCCCACCTTTGGATGTATGACCAGTCTTTACTATTTTTCCTGAATACTTGAATGTGTGGGTAGCACCATATTTTATGCTAAAACAATATCTGGATAAAAAAGAAAATTATTCCTACCTATCTCGGACAAGAAAAAGAACCTGAGGAAATTGCTTCTGATTATTTCTGAAAATGCAGTGGTTTGCATGTGTGACTCCCATTAATAGTGCACAGTGTGAGCAATTCCATGTGCCCTTTGCTGAACAGGTGGTTTTCTTCATGGAAGACTTTTAACCAAGTCTCCTGATACTGCTAGTTATCAGGACAACCACAGGCTTGTTACTTTAAGGCTAGTTTTAAGGTTGATAATTTTGCTGCAAATCCTTGGAAGATTCTTGATATAATAGAAATTATGTGCAGTTAGAGAAGTAATTGTAGAAGTTGGGGGTTTTTCACTTACAGTTGCATTTTTGGTAAAAGAGGCTTTTGTTATTTCTTTTGGAATCAGTGCTCATATATTATCTTAACACATTCAGCCATCTCTCAGGGCTTCAAAGTGAGTTGGTATAAACCATCCATTATCTCAGCTTTCTTTCTTCCTATTTGACTTATGTTTGCAATCTCCACCGTCTCTGTGGAGAGCTTAACTCCCCATGTTGAGTTTAACTTTGTCTGATTGATTCATGTAGGGAGAGGAGTCATAAAAATGAGATGAAACCTAGTAATAGTCTACAGATTTTTATCTCGGTTTATGAATAGCACAATTGTTTTCATGCTCTAATGATTTAGTCTTCGGACTGAACTTTCAGGAGGCCAATAACAGAAGTTTTAATGCCTAAATGTATTTATGCTAAAATAATGTGAGGAAGCAAGTTCTGGTTTTACTTTTTTTCCAGGCATTCACTTAGAGATCAAAAGCCTAGATGTGTTTTAGGACCAGGAGGGGCAGCAGTATTCTCTTTGATTCTTCTAGATTTTCATCAGCACACAAAAAAAATTGTGTTTTTCCATGGAGCCTAGTAGCAGTTTTAGATGCTAGCTGGTATTTTGCTTTCATAAGGCATTATTTTAGATTGAATTTCAGAATTAAAATCCTCCCTCTTTGTTTCATTAAAAGAAGAAAAAAAAAAAATCAGTGCATGTGTGAAGGACAATATTGCTAAAAAGGAAATTTATGGCTCAGTCCTTCAAGCACAGCAATGTGAATTTGGAAATTACACCTTGTGCCATAATACTCCTGAGTGCTGGTGGTGTGTTAGGAATGCAGGATTTTTTGTTGCCCACAGAAGGAGATGGTCTTGGAGCTGGCTTGCCCTAGACCAAATTTTAGAAGCAAATTGATGCTGGCCTGGTGGTACCTGCATAGTGGCATAGATCAAGGATCTGAAAGCTTTAAAAACATAGCACAGAAATAGTGGTTGAGAAATTCGTGTTCAGTGATTTGAAGTTGATATCATCATTCTTAGGTACAAGGGTTGGCTCTGGTTGTATGAAGCACATTTAATTTGGCATTTCCTATCTGATAAGTGCTACTCGGTGCAGGTTTTTCTCCAGTAAAGCAATGCCAAATATCTAGTTCTGATTCTGGTTAGTAAGGAGGAAGGCAAAAAGAAGAGAACTTTATGCAGCAGCTGTACATTCAGTATTTGTATGCAGCTGGAGGTTTTCTTTTGTGTTAGTTAAACTGCCAAATGTTTGACATCTGCTTTTGGTAGTACTTTAATGTTTTTCTTTGAAGGCAGCATCTCAATTACTTTAAATTTGCATGTAACTAGGAAATGTGTGTCAAACTAGAATTAACCAAGAAAAAAATCATATTTAAGATATGGTGTACATACAGTGACCTACATTCATAAAGAAAAATAGATAGTAAGTATAAAGCATTAATTTCTTACTAAAGTCTCTTCTCACTTTTCTCGTGGAGTGACAAGACAGAATAAGTAGTCCATCAGAAATACATTTGTCTTCTTTCCAAGGTCAGGGGGGAGGAAAAAAATAATTAAGGAAAGTTCTCCATCTCATGGATTCTGAGAACTCATCTAATGAAATCCTTTAGTGTCTGTTCTTGTAAGGATGAGATTTAACATTTGAGAGCAGTATTACTTCTCTCTGATATGCCCTGTTACCCCTGTAAACTGCACGGAGCAGTTTAATTTTGAAGGCTCTTCTTTTAAAAGTAAGCATTGTTTTAAGAATAGTTGAAGCATGACAGTAATAATACCACTTTTAAAATCTTGCAAAATAAATGCTATCTTGGTCTGTGAGGTCCAACCATCAATCAGAATTGGGTCTTTCAAAAAAACTACTATTTAAAAAGCCAATAGTCAGTCTACTACTGATACGAATCAGGTTTCAAGGTGTTCTTCAATGAAATAATCTCATTATCTGTTAATATTTCTGATATCAATGATCGATTTCTTTAATCCAGTGTCTATTTTCTTAAAATCTAGCTTTTTACCAGCCTAAGACCTACAAAAAACTGAAATAAATGGGCCAAATGCTCAGCCATTGGAAAGCAGCTACTTTTTTTTTCACTGATCTACCCCAGATATGGACTTGAAATTACAGCCCTATTCTTCTGGGTGAAGCATTGTGTATAAACCAGTATCAGTTTAGGATAATGAACGAGGGAGGGTCACTCTGACATCTTATTGCAGGATGATGTGATTTATGATAAAAGTGCATGAAAATGAAGCTGAACATTTATTAAATGTTTCTAAGCAGCAGGAGTTCCAGTAGTGTCAGTTCCTGTGATGCCTGTAGTTTAGTGATCACTGACTTCAGTAGACTTTGAGCTGTGCCCAGGGTCAGGAAGGAGATGGGATACTGATGGTTTTGCAAAAATACCAGTGGTAGTTGGGGTGCTTCAACAGTCACTGGATTTGATAGATGCCTTGATACCATTTTTGCTTTTGGAAATCTTCCTCAGACTGTCGTACTTATGCATGTGATGAAGGGAATAGCTTAAGAGAAAACTGGTAACTGTGCAGAAGAAAGGAAGTTTATAATGGGAGAGATTCATATATATAACAGGAGAGAATCATTCTGTGATTCTATGATAATGGGAGAGGCCTCCAAGATCCTTTTCACTTCAGAATATCAGTCTGCAATTTGCTTAGTTCCACATTAACATCCAGTTTTAGTTCTCTCGTTTCTGAGATAGTCTTGATGCAGTAGCATTTGAGCAATTATCCAGCACACCCTCACAAGTTATCCCCTGCTGCATGCTGCTAGAGCTGGTGGGATTTTAAAGCCACATCTCTGTCTCTTTTAGCTTCATCCATCGTTATGTGTATCAGGCACTTTCTTGCCTGCTTGTACTTTGCTCCCCTTCTGGCTCAAGCATTTTACTGACTCTTTCCCTTCTGTTTCGCTGTTCATCCTGGCAGATAAGTGATGACATGTCTCTTGCACTGTAGCATGGTGATAGTTGTTCTGCCTGGAAGGCTGGAGCAAGTTTCCTAGGAAAAGTCTGGTTTTTCCATTTCTATTTAATGGCCTCTGCAACAAGCTAATTCCCTGGAA